TGATTTCATTCTTCATTTTTGGACTTGAGAGCTCGGAATTTGGCGATTATTTAAGGGATTTTCATAGGAAGCTTTGGGGTAATGATTCCTAACTCGTTTTTGGTTGTATTCCATTAATCTATAGTTATTTTCTCCATTTAATTTCGGATTTGGGGTTGAAAATTTGGGGAAAAGTTGACAAATGTTCTTAGGCCGAATTTTGGAATTTTGATCGATATTTTGGTATCGGATTTGAGTAATTTTGGTATGAGTGAACTCGTGAGTGAATGGGTGTTCATATGTTATGACTTTTACCAGATTTCGAGACATGAGCCCGAGGAGGTTTTTAGGGCGATTTTTCAATTTCTTGCTTTAGCTTTGATTTCATTAGCTAGATTAGTTCCTTTTAGTTATATTTATGTTATGTTATTAATTTTGGCTAGATTTTGGCCATTCGGAGTTGGATATTCATGGAAAGAGCATTGTTACAGATTGATTGAGCTTGGTTCGAGGTAAGTGGCTTGCCAAACCTTGTGTGGGGGAACTCCCCTTAGGATTTGGTACTGTTTTGATATGTGAGTGTCGTGTACGTGAGGTGCCGAGTACGTACACGGGCTAATTGTTGTAAAAACCCGATTTCTACTAAGTAATAACATGTTTTCCTTCTTATTTGAGTCATATCAGCATGTGTAGTATCTTGTTAGATTAGAACAACATGACTACTTGCCTTAATTGTTTATCTGAACTCCGTGCAGCATGTCTAGTAAATTTTCTATTTTTCCTTGTCTTGTACTTAGTTTAAATTGTAGGATCTCGTGTTGTAGTTGTTGAATTCTATTGTTTGAGATGTGTATTTACTTTTGGGACTACAGAACTGTATTCCGGGAGATCCCTCTGTATATTTAATTTTGGGACTACGGAACGGTATTCTGGGAGATCCCCTTGCACATTTACTTTGGGACTACGTAACAGGATTCCGGGAGATCCCCCTGTCTTGCATATTTACTTCCCTGCACATTTACGTTTGGGACTATGAGACGGTATCTCGGGAGATCCCCTATGTTATTTCTATGTAATGAGTTGTTACCTTTCTATGTTTTCATTCTTGTTAAATTTCTGTCTTTATTTTATTGTGATATATCATTCTGCCTTGTTTTTATTATATATANCACTTATTGGGTACCGTTGTGGTGTACTCACACCCTTTCCTGCACATATTTTTCGTCTGCAAATCCAGGTTCCTCCTACCAGCCTCGTCCTTAGTTGCAGTCGTTGCTATTTTCGGAGACTTCAAGGTACATCTGCCCGCGCCCGCAGATCCCCGGAGTCCCCCTCTATTCCCCTATGTTTATTCTTCCCTTATTTCTATAGACAGTGATGTATAGAACATTTAGAATCTCGTAGAAGCTTGTGACTTATGGTGTTCCGGGTCTTGGGTGTGTTATGTATATTCCGAGAGTTGACTATTGTATATGCCGAACAGCATCTCAATTGCTTATATAGATTATCTACTACTGTTAGTTGTTAATTTTCATGTTTTCATTTCATTTTCGCAAAGTGTTAGGCTTACCTAGTCGTAGAGACTAGGTGCCGTCATGAAAATTCACGGAGGGAGAATTTGGATCGTGACAGAGGAGTGGGGCTTCGTGATGTAGCTCAATTACTTGTACACTCAAATCTTCATCCTCAGGCACTACTTGGTACCTCCCTAGCTGTCTTTGAACTCTCTGTGGCATATACGGCTGTACACATCTCAAAGCCAACAATAACAAATAACTTTTTAAGGCTGACATGTGTATCACCTCTCTTACCGGGAGCCATCCCAAAGTCCACTCAATTTGACTTGCGTTTAAAGATCTCGGGTGGGATATCCAGGCTTCCACCCCTTCTGGCTAGTTGTAATCTTTTACTCTTTCTCCGTACCTCTCAATGAAATTGTCCTTGCTCGGACCATAGCTCATGAACTTAGGGTGATGTTGGAGATGCTCAATCAACAATATTTGCAACAAAACATTGCACCCTTCGAAGAATTTTACCCCGGACTTACATAAAGTCAACGCTCGATAAATGTCTAATAGAATAATCGGGGCAAGAGTGTGATGTTCTTTGGTAGTGAGGTGTACAATCCTAGCTATACGGTGTCAATTGGCCACTCCTAATTTGGGAAGACCATAATTCCCATAAATGCCACTAGGAAGGCGAAGCGACGGTGAATCTGCCATGTATCCTTGTCCTGCTTGTTGTTAAGGCCCTATGATGCATTTTGAACCCATTAATATGCCCGAACCTGGAGTATAGGAAGTAAAAAGAACAACACCCTCTGACTACGTTGGTCTTTTTGATTTGCTTATCGATATTCAGAAGATCGAAGAACCAGTGTACAGAAAGAGCCCTTGGGAATATGAATTTCTCGTTTCTCAAATCCATGCCGAAATCGGAACATCCAGCTATCACTTCTAAGGTGAGACTAAGCTCAAAACCGGAGAAGCAGAAGATATTGTGAAGCGGGATCCCAAAAGATCACTACTGCCTCAATCAAATCGTCCTGTGGTTTAACATTCATAATGTCTGTGAGGGCTCCCATGTGTTTGGTGACCTATTTCTGACCATATTCCCCCAAGTCATACCACCAAATCTGAAGCCGAAGTGGAGCCTCGCCTACAACCGTCAACGGTGTGTTCTGGACAGTGCTCATTTTGTACTTGTGGGTGGTTAAGGTTAGAGTAGACAATAGTTTAAAAGACAATATCATTGAACTCTTTTTGCAAAACAATCTTTTGTAAATTACCCAATTTTTAAGAAAAGTCAAAGAGATGGTGGCTATTTATGCAATTATGACCAAGGAAAGGGGTGGCTATTTTTGCAAATATGGCCCCTTCGTACTTCCAAGGAAAGCTTTAAGGCCGGGGGAGGAAATTATGGTAAAAATGACGCCCAATTGACAGACAAGTCCGTTCTTGCGAGAATAGTCCTTCGACTCGTTGAAGATGTTCTAAGGCTATTCCGAGAGAATCAGTTTGGGATTAACCGAAACAGGGTCGGCTTATTTGTTTTGAAAACAACACTAAACACAATTCTTTCTTTTTGGTTATTTTTGCAAAAATGGGACCGAACACTATGAAGGTTGTTTACGTATCTCACATCCAGTGAGAATAAGACCCGCGTAGTTCGTAAGTTTTGACCAAACAAGGGAAACATGACACTTGAAAATTTTGGCTCATTTTGAAATGACCTTTCTTTTTTTCTTTTTTTCAAAAATTTAGCAGAGTTTCAAGATTTTTCCAATACCGGGATTTTTTGAAATCGGATGAATTCTCTCCTACTTCTCAGTCTTTCTTATTTTTAATTTTCTATCCCTATTCTAGAAACCGGTCAATATGCAAACCAAATCAAATAAAATGCCCAAGTAGCACGTAAGATGCATTAGGATGGTCTTGTAATTTTGGGTACATCTGTCCTAGACGGACCCAACCCTGTGTTAGAGTCCCCAAAGTCAAATGCACGTGATGCAAACAAAAGTTCCTACTAGGGATACGGCATGAGGCTATATTATTCTAGGTTTAAATCCTGGGGGGTATGTTTTAAACCTGACTTACCCAAGTGGACAACTCGAGCCGAGGTAGGGGCAACATACCGGGAGCACGAAAGTCTACCCGGCCTAGTTACTGACCCAGCCTCGTTCAAATTGGTATGACCTCTAACAAAAAAATAGGTCACGCGCACGTGTACACCAATAATTCAGAAGACTCAGAAGGAAGGCATAAGAAGATAGTTTAATACAGTTCAAGTAATATCAAAGCGATAAATAAGCGACACTTAGCACATTAGGTCCACAAACACAGTAATATCATACAATTAACAAAGCCAATTATAGATCACATTACAAGCTCGAATTCTGAACTCTGAACTAGAAGTTCTGGGTTCTTTTTCCCAGCAGAGTCGCCAGAGCTGTCACGCCTCATTTTTATGGGAAAATGAGTTTTTCCACTTGAAGTGATATTATTTGAAATGGGATTAATTTATTTTAAAAGAGTTGCCACTCAGAATTATTTAATTGCGATGTTCCGAGTCACCAATTATTTAAATCCCAAATCAAGGAAATGACTATGTTTAAAGTCTGCGAAACATAGAAGATCGGGTAAGAAATTCTGTTAACCCGGGAGAAGGTGTTAGGCACTCCTGCATTCCGTAGTTTTAGCACGGTCGCTTTTAATCATACCTGGCTTAATTAAATGTTAATTACGTATTTTTAAACCTATGTGCATTTTTACCTTTTGTCGCTTTTAAATTTCTTTGATTATCACATTATGGATTATCTTTGAAACGAATCACGTGTGTGTATCCGTTTTGTTTATTGTGCCAAAATCATGTCACATATGTACACAATTAATAATACTTTATTATTATTCTGATTGTTTGCCGAAAGTCACGCGAACACGTACCTCGATTTATTTTGGGGTCATAATTGTGTCATGCGAACGTATACACAACCACGATAATAAATTAAGAAACATGCCTAAAGCATTCTACGCATATTCAAAGATTAATTTTCTTAATGTTTGGGATTGTTGGAAGAGGTCTCATAACTTGTGAAATTATTTTGTGACTAAGCTGAATGTGAATTCACATATCTAGAGTGTATATTATCTATGAAACCACATTAATCCATAACTTCCCTTTTGTTCGATGATTAACTCGGGCTGACGTTTAGGGTGAAAAGTTATCAATTGGGTTTGACTAAGAATTCACATTAGGACCTCAAAAGTGGACAAAAGATGGGCTTACAGCAAGCCCAAAGTGTCATTGTCCTTTGGCATGGCCAAGCCTTTGAACATAAGGTTCCTAGCATTTGGTTGGGCTCAAAATTGAGCCCAGAAGCAAACAAAGTGCCCAGAACCAAGCTCAGTTTGGCTTTGATTGGGCTGCCCCGCTTGGGCAAAATATCAATTTTTTCAACAAGCATCAAATGTGAATACAAACTACTGAACAAACGTGAATACAAACTACTGAAACAATTGTGATTTTGCAAATTTATCATTACTATTGATAAATACTATTACAGGCTCACATTTTCCCATGGCCTCAATTATTATCATAAGATCATCCAAAATTTATATTTAATTATAACAGACTAGAATAATTATAGAAATTTACATATCGGTTCAATATTACACAAATAACTATTCTAATGAATTACAGTCATCCTTGAGCTTCCATTACACTATGTTTAAACTATATAGTCGTGAAACTCATTGTCCAAAGAAAGACCTTTACTATCTCATACTCAACATGCTTCCATGTATTTCCATCTTCCTTAAAGTCATATTCGAGCTTGAAAGCATGCAATAAACCAAAGGTGATTTGATAACCAATAACAATTATTCTTGTGAAGAGATCAATCTAATCTAGACAAACATCTAATAATAGGTCAGGTTTTCAGTAAAATTAATATCAACAATTGCACACGTCTAGGTTCCCATATGGCATATTCAAACACAATTATCACATATGAGAGTAACAGATCAATAGAATCAGGCAAACAGTTAGCAATTTTGATCATTTTTGATCATTCACTGATATTGGAATGAGCCATATAAAGGCAGATGTTGGAATGAGATTTGAACTGACCTAACTGAACAAGGAAGATGTTGGAATGAGCCACATAAAAGCAGAAAACCAGTTCAACGAGCTCAGCAAAGTAGATACAACAACTCCAAATAGAAAACGGCAGAGAATCAACATACAACTTCAAACTTCCAAATCAAAACCCTCTTGAGAAAACCCCAAAAATCAATTGAAAAAACCTAGCCAAAATTAGAAACAGTTTGAAATTCCTTTTTTTTTTTTGTATTTTGGGAGTTTTTGTTTTCTGCAGATTTGGAGCTTCTTTTTTTTTTTTTTGATTTTTTTTCAGAATTTCTAGCTACTGATGTGTTTTCTATTCGTGAAGGTAAGAGAGTGCGGGTGATAAATATCAGAGTGTGAGAAGGAATATCTGTGAAAATGCAGAATGAATGTGTGTGTGAATAATCAGTGAATGAGTGGGTTGTTATATAGAATATTCTAACGACCGTCCATTCTATTATCTCTCTTTCTTTCCAGCCCCTTTTTCTGTATTTTAACCTTTAAGTCCCATTTTGACCTAATTTTTATTATTTTATTGCTTTTTAGTCCTTAACCCTCTCTTCTAGAAACACCCTAGACAGTTAACATAATGATTACCTAAGTTTTCTTATTTCCTTGAGCTCCCTCAAGATTTTGTTAATACAACTTCTTTTAACCTTTTCTTTTATCTCAACATTTATCCCAAATCTACTGCTCTTCTTCACTTAACAACAATAAATTTTTATCACACAACAATTAACCATACCAAATTAATACAAACTAAACGTGAATCAAATGAATCAACAATTGACTAAGCATGTTAATTAAACAAATATACAATTTAAACTAATCAATTCAAATAGAAAATGACTCTAAACCTCTAGACTTAAATAACTAAACAAAATCGGACATCGTAAAGAATCACAAGGTTGAAAACAGTAAAAGAAAAAAAGAAAGAAATAAATTATACCTATTTGAACTCGAGATAAAACAAAAGGGGTGACCTCAGTCAGGTTCTTGCCGGACAACGACTGGTTGACCAAAATATGACCTCTAAGAAACAGACTGAGTTTTACATCAATGGATAAATCTCATCAAGAGATCTCAACTGATGTAAATTCCAACCGTAAAGAGGAAAATTAGTCGAGAAATTGAAAAGGGGGCAAGTGGCGGCTAGGGTTTGGTTTCATAGATCTACAAACAAAAACGGGAAGGTTTTGAAGGGAAAGGTTAATGGATTTGGAAAGAGGAGAGGGTGGGGATTATTTGGTGAAAGTTTGAGGTTATTGGCGATTTCCGGCGGCAAAGACGACGGGGAGTGAGCGATGTAAGATGAGAGACGACTTGAGAGGGTTTTGAGGGGTAGGGGGGTCCAGGTCCGATACTTAAAAGGGGATGAGAGGTTAGTTACGGGTCGTTGGATTAGATTTGATGGACGATTGGGATTGCTTTGCTTCAAAACGACGTCGTTTGGCCTTGGGGTGGGACTGGACCGGATTTATGGAGTGGTTTGCTGCATTTTTTTGAAACCACATGGGCTGCTTGAACACTGGCCCAAATCGATTGTCCCCTTCTCTTTTGATCTCAAATATAACCTCTTAAATTGGACTCTAATTTGAACCTACCTAATTGTTGTAAAACTAATCTAATTAACAATTAAAATAATTGATGAGTCGAAAAATGCAAAGGAACAACTAATGTAACTATTTTTTTATTTTCATTTTGGATATGTCACTATTTGTAATTAAACGCTAATGATGCAATTAAAAATCAAAGCTAAAGAATATTTTGTTTTATTTTATTTTTATATGATTTTAAAATCTCTAATGATGCAATGATGCAAATAATCTATTAATGCAATAAAGTGCAATCAAATAAACAAACAAAATTCTTATAATTCTAAGAAAAATAATTAAAACTATTTCAAACATTTTAGGATTAGTTTCGTATTTGGGACAAAAATTACGTATTCACACGACATAAATTTTACTTGAAAAAATTAAGATCTTAGGCGTGAAAGTATTATTTCACTTCCTCAAACAAAAATTCAATTTCAAAAATTTTCTACTACAAGTTAAAACTGAAATAATGACAAATACCGTTGAATAAATTTTAACTTATAAATAATGATTTCAATGTTTGACAAGTGAAGTAACGGCCAAATGAGTTAGTAAAACCAAAAGATTAGACGGAAGTTCTGAAGAATATTTTGGTGGTAGTAAAATTTTGGTCTTTTTGTCGATTTTTTTTTACCATTGTAACATTCTGATGTGAGTATTATTTGTCACGTCATCACCGAAAATCATCTCAAACAAAACTCACAACCCGGGGCTGAAGTGTAATATTTAATACTATAGGGTTGCATGTAAAATTTCATAAAACTAATATACTAATGAACAAACAATGAAAAAGAAAAGAAGCCTTTTACTTCCGTTTCCCAGTTGCCGGAAAATCGACAATTGGACGAGGAAACATTGAAGACAAGGGCTTTTTATTTATTCAGTTTGTGATGGAGATCACAGTAGCTTCTAAATTTTAACTGTTGGTCTCATCACTTTTCTTCACCCTCCTTTTTTTGGGTAGAAAAAAGATTTAGAAACGATCTTCTTTATCTTTTGAAATTTGCCCAAGTCGATTTTTGGTGTTGTTAATTTCTATGTTTTGTTTACTGCAGTGTAATCAAATTGAGGAGGAGGAGTGAAGCTGTTATAAATGGGAGAAATGGTAATTGTATTGGAAAATTTTAGTGCTTGCATTTTTTGCTTAATTTTTATTTAATTTTAGATTATTTCATGTATTGGGGTTCTTTCCAATCAGCTTTTAGTACAATGTATATCATGGAAGTGAAAGTCCATGTTTTTGTCTTTTGAAATTTGAGTACTTTGTTAATCAGTCATTACAGTTACAAGAACTATGTTTTTGAGGATAGCCCTTTTGCATCAGAGTTGTTTCTCTTGATGTTGTTTCCACTTTCCACAATTAGGTCTTCTTGTGTAGCATATAAAGACAACATCCCTTCATGTTAAGATAAGCTCAGACAATTTTATTTACAGCTATTACTCTGAGATACATGCATTTGTTTGGGTTTGACACCCTAATCAGTGGCAGAGCTATGTCAAAACCTCCTTTGTTGAAAACTTCCTTTCAACTGTGAAAATAGGGCAAAAAGAACTTTTTGGTTCTATGTAAGCTGTTGAATCCCCTTCATATAAGGAAAAACCCAAGTGGAGTGGCAAAGGAGGATAGCAACATTGTAGATTACAGGTGAAACAGAAACTATGAGGTGCCATTGACAACAGATCCTAAAAGTAAATCCCCTTTTTTTTCCAACAATAGTGTCTGGGGCAGCGTGTGTGTATGTTGATAGTTTACCGGCTACCTGTAACTCTTACCACCACAGTTATTGGGTTTTGTTTACCATGGATTAGTCAAATGGCAAGAATTCACCAAGTGTTGCCTCTGTTGAGATGGGCAGCTAGACCCTCTCCCTTGAGGGCATGTGAACATATTATATCTACTGAAGATTTAAGATAGCCATACTTGTTAAGTAATACAACAACAACAACAACATACCCTGTGTAATTCCACAAAGTGGGGTCCGGGGAGGGTAGAATGTATGCAGATCTTACTCCGACCTTTGTGAGGGTAGAGATGTTGTTTCCGATAGACCCCCAGCTCAAAGAAAAATTAAAAGAGGCAGAAAAAACAAGTAGTAACAACAACAAGATAAAGAGATAAGGTGATAGAATACTCAAAGCGAAAGAAACAACAAAAGAAATCTGCGGATAGGAAGTTACGAAAATACTAGACTAATTTTAATGCTATCGGCATGAAAAGGAGACACGCATGCCTCACTACGAACCTTCTACCCTAATCTCAACCTCCATACCCGCCTATCAAGGGTCATGTCCTTAGTAAGTTGAAGCAACACCATATCATGCCTAATCACTTCTCCCCAATACTTGTTAAGTAATGTCACTCTTATTTGAAACATGCGTTTTTAAATTGTGAGTGCACATGTGTATGCATGGTTTTTGAAGTGGAAACGGACTAGCTTCTGCGATTTCTCATTGCTCTTTATTTATATTGTCAATGCTTATAACCTTTTTTGAAGTGGAAAGGACTGACTTTTGGGATTTCTTATTGGCCGCTTTATTTGTATTTTCAAAGGTTATATATCCTTTTATTGGCTGCCTGTTAGGTTCTTATGCGAGAGGAGGATATAAATCTGGACGCTGTACGGGCTAGATGTAACCTTCTTTTCTTTTGTGTCTTTGGTTTTTGGCCCTTACATCATCCCACATTCATATTGCTCCTTTTGCTGGCAGTTTCAAATGTTCTTAAAAGACATTCGGAGCTAGCAGAGCGTCTTTCTAGGTATTGGATCTTAAGATATACTTGATTGGTATTTACATGATCTGTCAAGTTTTTCATTAAATCTCACATCTTTTCTCGAATTTTTGCTACGAATGACACATAGTAAAAGTTGCAAGCAAGAGAATCTTCCATTATTTTTCGGTCAAAGTTTAAGAAAGGAGCTGACGTGTACATCACGTAGTTGCAGGTTAGATATATGTGATGATAGGATGGCTAGGGTTTGAATAAGGGAATTCTTTAATGAAAGAATGTGAATAGAGAACTGTAAGGGTAAGGAGGATCAAAGGAATTCGTGAAAATGGAAACGCAACTAGAAAAGTTGAAAAGAAGATTTATCAGCATCCTTAATCTACTTTATAATCATGAGAAAACTTTTTGGCACAGAAATGTTGGACTAATAAACAGAACTTCCTGCAATTCATTGTTTCTTAGCATGTAAGATTTAAAAAAACATATTCCAATGGTTGATCAAAAGGAAATACTCTTTGACTTGGTGCATTTTTTATTAATACAAGAGTCAATGATATGAGTTGTTTTTGGTTAGCAAAACATCAAGGAATATCTTGAGTTTTAGTTTCTAAAGAATAGAATTGAAGAAAATGTTTATTAATAAGATTAAATGCGGGTCCCGTCAGACATTTTTTGTTATATAAATAGTGTAATAACTTCCTTTTTAAGGTGGGACAAAAGTAGGACTGCACAGAAATTCTGACATGTACTCTCTCAATTAAATTTATTTAGAGTCGGTGTTTTGAAGGCAAGAAGGAGCAGCTGCAATATTTGAAATATAGTTGTTTGCATTATTTGTACTATTGGAAAGATGGACATGTTGTTACGGACAATACTTGATACTGTTTTTAATAAAATCTTCACCTTACCAAAAAAAAAAAAAATTAAATTTATTTAGAGCTTATGACATATAATTCTCAGTTTAATTTAATTAGGAGCTATTTCATCTAAAAGAATTTTATTAAGAGCTCAAACTTTTGGCTCAGATAAAGTTACATCATATCTCCCGAGCATGATGGCATCTTTGCAAGCACTTAGATTACTAAGATGGAGCCAAAAAGAGTGGTGCTTTCTTTCTGTTTCCATAGTAGTTGTGTTTTCTGCATTTACATTGGTGCGAATCACCAAATAACTGTGACAGTTATGGTTTCTCTAGGGACTCTGACAAGTCAATTTTTGAGCATCTACAGAGGGAATTTGAAGCCGCACGTGCTTCTCAAACTCAAGGTAACTTTGGTAGAATTCTAGAGCACATCTAGTTCTGATGTTCTTTTTTCTCTTGCTCTTGGTTGTGTTCTATTTAAGTTGTGAGCACACAAATAGTACTGGAATGGTTCATTTATCACATGGAACGTAATGTTTAGTCTAATACTTGATTTTCGCTTGTTATTTTCTGCAAGTGTTTCTTGTACCATGTTGTTTGGTATCTGATCTAAGGAGCGTACCTAATAACAGCCATATATGGCTGCAAGTTTTTTAAAGACTGCTACTTGAAAAAAAGCGCTTCTTAAATACTTGCTCATTCATTTTTGATTTTATGATGTTTAAACTATGTCTTTAAAGAGTGAATTTGTAAAAAATTGTTTCAGTAGATAGTGTATTGATCGCGGTGGGCATAGCTTATTTAAGTCAGCATTGCATTTTGCTGCATGTTACTTCTTGTTCCACATATAACGATGAGTTCTTTTCCTCGATCGGTCCTGTTTGATCCTCAGTTATCCTTGAAATGTACTTGATCTAGTCTATACAATATGTAACTCCTGTCTCATTTTGATTATTTTGCAGAACTTAGCTTAGAAGGTGAGCAATGGAATGATGGCTTATTAGCAACAATAAGAGAGCGGGTATGTACGGTTAAATTATTTGATCCAGAGTGTCCATTCATCTCCAAGCTTGTTTATTCCTTAAGATATTTCTCTTTCCAACCAAGCAATCAGTAATCTTTCCCTTTTTGTCA